GAAGGCTCCGGAGGTCGAAAATCGGCCCTACATACAAACTGGAAGTCACCATTCCCGAACTTCTGGGTTCCCCATAGGTCTGGGGGTTTTTTTTTGCCCTCCAGAGGCTTCATGGAAGCTCCTGAGGCCTCTGGAGGGTGTCCAGGGGGAGGAGGCTGTTTGCACCCTCTCCAGGCTCCTAGAAAGCCTCTGGAGTCTGGGGAAGGCGGTAAAACTGCAGCAAAAGCAGGAATGGGGGTGTCACTGATCGCTGGGGAGCGCGCACGCATAGCATTATGGGTGTGGCATGCCAGCGGATGACCCCCCCTGTGCTCCCCCTGCTTTTGGCACAGCAGCCAAAAAGGTTTTGCCATCATTGGTCTAAAGTATTGCTTGCCTGATGAGGCAAGTGAAAAACTTTAGATTAAGCATTTTTAATAGCAAAATACTGTACATTTCTTGTACTATAGATTTGAAGGAAAAATATCTGAGTGGAATTTTGTAGCTGTATAAAAAATGCAAATTGTCTTACAAACAACCACTTCTTCTCTTTACATTCTTTCCACTCCATTCAGTGTAGGAGAACAATTTTGTGTTATACATATTTTTCCCTCTGCCTTAGTGAAATACAACAAGTGATCTACTAGATTATGCATGGATGATTACCATCCATGTGCAGTTATTTTCTGGTTATGCTGTCTTTGTAAAACTGCAAATCCAGTATCATGTTAGGTACTTAGTACCGCAACTGGTAGGTTTGGAAGTTTAAGTTGTATAGGTTACTTTAAAGTAACGAAAAGGACAAATTATCTTAGATTGTTAATTTTAATCAGATTTAAATTATTAATTGCCATTAAAGGTCTGGTTTTAATCCTGTGTGGTTCATGAAACTTGCTCATGGCAGAAAAACTTTCCTATTCCTGCTCTTCTATCTTGCAGAATCTAACAATACCTACCTATCTATGAATGTTCTAGGTCACAAGTGTCAAACTCGCCATGTCACATTGCCATCACATGACGTTTCGCGACATTTTCCCCCTTCATGGAGCTGGGGTGGGCGTGGACTATGTGTGGCACATCCAGCCTGTAGGCCGCCAGGTTTACACTCCTGTTCTAGATGTACCATAAGGGAGGTCCTCAAACTTGGCCAAGCAATGAATTCCAGAAATTTTGCCAGTGTCAAGAGACCAAATGGCAAAATCTTCAAAAATATTTGAGAATGATTAAAGCATCCATTCATTAATTGGTATAACCCAGTGTTTGTTAATAGAAGAGACATGGTAGAAATTTAAGGTCATATTACTTTCATTTTGAAGGTAATTTTGGTTCAGATTTCTAATACAAGATGAAAGGAATAAGAATTTTTTTAAAAAAATAAGATGACAAAGACAGGACACTTTAATGTTTATTTCCATCTGAATCCCATAATTCATTTAACAACTGTGTTACTAACTTAATAACTACAGTAATTTACTTAACTATGGCAAGAAAGGTCATAACATGGGCAAAATTCACTTAACAAATATCTCACTTAGCAACAGAAATTGTGAGCTCATTTGTGGTCATTAAGTTGAGGACTACCTGTACTCATGAATGAAATGTTCACACTTCAATAGCTCCCCAAGTATTTAAATTTAGGAATCACAAGACATTCCTAGAGATTGCCAACACTTCTATACAGGTAGTCCTCAACTTAATGACCACAAATGAGCTCACAATTTCTGTTGCTAAGCGA